AAAAAAAACCCCTGTACTGGCAGCCATTTTGAAGGCATGAAAGAAGCTGTTAGCCATTCAATCCCAACTATATTTAGCGGTTGCTTTGAGGGCGCCTAAAAGAATGGAAGGGATGAATATTTTTAACGTTGCCCCCCTTTGTGTCCCCCACAGTGTTCCCTCTAAGCTGTGGAGTCCTGTGAGCAAAAATTCTACTCTGTGAGCCATTGGCATTAAAGTTGTGAGCCAGCCATTTGGCTACTGCGTAAATTAGTTTGCTCTGGAGCCATCCTTCCTTCCTTTATTTATTTATTTATTTTTACACTTCTATCCCGCCGTCCCAGTGGGCTCAGGGCGGCTAACAGAGGCCAGATCATCAGTCTAGCCATAAATAGACATATAAAAACATAATAAAAACATCAGAACTAAGACTAAAGTGCTCTATCCAGTTACTAGTGTCCTAGATCCAAGATGGTATCCCCACGACTCGAGCTGGTATTCTCAGCGTACATATCCAGTGGTGACGGCCTTTCCGATGTAATTCCAAGTTCTTTCTAGGGCCCCGTCAATGCATCCATTCAGATGTCTTGACGGTGGTGGTATAGTAGGGCGGTGGCTCCTACTCAAAAGCCTGGCGGAAGAGCTCCGTTTTGCAGGCCCTGCGGAACTGCTCAAGGTTCCTGAGCTAATACAAAAATGTGTGAGCCGGAGGCTAAAAAACTGTGAGCTGGCTCACACTCAGCTTAAGAGGGAACACTGGCCCCCCATAACCATTCTGAAATTGGGGGGAGGGGGGTTATCCCAAGCATGACAACAATTGTCTCTTTGTTATTTATTCGTTGATTGATTGATTGATTACATTTATAGCCCACCCTCCCCGCAAGCGGGCTCAGGGCGGCTCACATTACTTGGCCAGGCGTGCCAAGATTCATATAAAACATTCCCTTATCCTGTTTGTTTAGTTGTCCTGAGAAGGTGACCATAGGTCACATCTGCCCAGATGACATTGATTCAGCCGCAAATAACACCCACCAAGGGAAGACCGTCAACGTTTCACAACTATATCTGATCAAAACTCTATATTACATTCGTTCAAGTACAAAGATAAATTAGTGGTCATAACCCAATGAAATGTATAAACATATATCCCACAGATTTCTCATATCAGTTATGCATCATTGGCAAAAAAATAAAAAAAAGACCGTGTTCAAATCCAACAGTAGGCTCCTCCATAGTCCCCCATGTAAATAGCGTCCAGAGACTGCCGAACAAAAAGTAATTGCGGCAGAGGATGCCCACTGTGGAAAGAATAACAACCGTAGGTCCCTCCCAGGTGTAAATCAAGACATTTCAATCCTCTTCCACGGCAGTTGGTTAAAGGGAACCCGATTTCCAAAATAACATAGGCACAGCTCAGTGATTTCAGTGGAACCCTAGGGTTCCCATCTTTGTACTTTAATGAATGTAATGTACAGTTTTGATCACATATAGTTGTGGGTTGTTGATGGCCTCCGCTTGGTGGGTGTTGTTTGTGGCTACACTCACCTGCTAAGGGTTCCCTGCCATCTTTGGCAATATCTAGTTTGGGGGGATAACATGGCTCAAAGTTCAGGTGACGTTGATGGCAGAGCCTCATTAGGAAGCAGACGGGGCTGAAGGGACAAATCGGCCTTGGGGCTCCTCATGAGGAAGCCGGGAGGCATAACCCATTCATAATTCGTCCTCAGGGGAAACGCACAGAAGACAGGCGTGCGGGCACCCTGGGGAGGTATAGAATTGGCAAGGGCAGGACTGAAAGGGCAGGAGAAATATGCGGGCAGACGGGCAAGGGATTGTAGAGAATGAGGAACACGCATCTCTTCACATGTTGCTCTCGTGGTCCCAGAAGTCCGCAGTGTCCCTTTGAGGAAGCCCTAGGGCGGCCATTTTCTCTATACATGGTAAAAACTCCCTCAGAGATGACCCTGAGACATTGAGCATCCGACCGGCATACCCTCACTCTGCAGTGGGAAAATACTATCTCGTCGACTAAATAATAGATGTTTTGCTGCCTGTTAATGGGTATCCCTCATAGCCACTAAAACCTGGCTTCCCTGTGGTGGATTCACCTCACGTTAACGAACGGCAGGAGTGGCCCTGAACACCTGGGAGCTGTGCCTTCTGTGGCAACATTTTGTATGGAGTCCTTGTTTTCGTTCCTACCTCCATGAAGACAGCTCAGGAGTTACAGACGTGAAGGGTTTCGGGTTTTTTGTTGGTTTTAAACTGAATTAAGTTTCCACACAGAAGAAAGCCTCAGGCAAATAGACACTTAGAAGGCACCGAGGAGGTTAAATAGGAAATAATTCTGCTGGAAAAACATTCTCTTTTGCCCCTACTACCGTCACAACTGGTACTTGGCCTTATACAAAGGCTTTTTACAGCACCGGGTGAGATCTGCACATGTTTTGTAAGCATTGCTTCTGGGCTAGTGCACTCCTGACACCCTTTATCTCTTGGTGGAAAGGCAACAGTGGGGGAAGTGGTAGATGTCGAAACTAGCAAAGGAGATAAAAACCTCCTCCCAAATCGGCTGTGACTGTGAGGATTGTGAGACCCCGACCAGAGTCCAGAAGTCCCTTCAGTGAAAGTTCAGTATGGTCACTCATGAGCAGTGCTCCCTCTAAGCTGTGGAGTCTTGTGAGCGAAAATTCTACTTTGTGAGCGACTGGCATTAAAGTTGTGAGCGAACGGTTTGGCTACTGCATAAATAAGCTTGCTCTGCAGCCATCCTTGAGCGAAGACAAAGATGTGTGAGCCAGAGGCTAAAACAATGGGAGCTAGCTCACACTAACTCAGCTGAGAGGGAACACTGCTCACGAGGATCTCTGCTTCAGAAAGTTGGCATCCTAAGCAACTGTGCCAGAAAATAATTTGTAGTATATTTTTAGATTGGCTCTGAAGAATGCCGCTGTCGTACCTGTTTCCCTAGTGGTAAACTTGGAGTCGCTTCCCCCTGGACCTGTAGTAAGCCCTTGAAATTGGAGAGGGCATGAATGCAAGAGCCCCAGATTTCTAGGCACTGTGGCAGGAGCTGAGACTGATGCACCCTGGGAAAAGGGTACAAGAAAAGGACATTGCAGATGACCTTGCATTTAGGGGCTTAGTGATCATATAAGGTAGTACAAGAAGGGTACCGTAATTCATAGGGTTGTTATGAGGTGCTACGTCTTTTTTTCCAAAAGGGCAAGATAAAGTTGTACTAAGTAGAAGGCAGAAGGGGGATTTTGAAAACTTAGGCCACTTTGCCAACGGGAAGCAAGTGGCTTTGTCTGAACAGGTAAATAAAATCCGTTAGCAGCCAGTTGCTAAAGCGGTTGTGTCCGAACTGACACGAAAAACCCATTAGCAACCGGCTACTAAAACGGATCACAAAGGCTGTCTAAAAGCGGCCACTGTCTGGAGCTGCTAGATCCAGGCGGGTCGCCGTGTTGGTCCGAAGCGGCAGAACAAAGTTGGCGTCCGGTGGCACCTTCAAGACCAACCAAGTTTAATTCAAAGTTTTACTTTCTCAGTCTTAAAGGTGCCACTGGGCTCGAACTTTGTTCTGGAACTAAGCACTGATGCATTGCATATTTCTTCCACCAGGAGGCAGTCCCTTTTTGCTTGCCCTTCGCCCCCTCTGTGGAAGACATCTCCTCCAACTTGAAGCAAAAGATAACAGGGGATAGTGGTTTTACTGCTATGTTACTATATTGCGGTAGCAGTGAAGCGAAAGAAGTAGGCTGCCTCCATAAGGTCTGGTTGCATACCCAAATGGTGCATTTTTAAGAATGCAGATTTCAACAGATATTTTTCTTTACAAATCCAGGAGACACGTTTCGGGGCATATGAGTTTGCCCTCGCTTTGTAGACATTTGTTGCCGCGAAATCTTTCGTTCCTCCTAAATGCCAGCATTTTCAGGATCACAGAGTCCAGGATGTCTTGGTAAACCGTGCGCTTCCTGAATAAAAACAAGCTGTGTTGTGTTAGCCAACTTGAGGAGACTGAGTTGGTTCCACTTCAGAAAGATCTGTTGGAGACAGGAATGTGTGTTTTCCTCTTCACTGAAGCTTTCAGAGTGAACTATGGCACCCTGAATGGAGGGATGGGCTCAGCCTAGACCAGGGGTCCCCACTTCCCAGCACAGTACCGGTGGGCGCCATGGCACTGGTGAGGCCTTTCCTGGCGCTTGCCAAATGTTTTAGAAAGAGGGGCAGGGCCAGGTGGGGGCTTGTGCTCAGCAGGGCTTCTGATTGGCCATTGGAGGTCCAATAGGCTGTGCAGATTTTAAAGAAGTTGATTCGGCGGCAGCCGCCCCCACAGCACAGGGATCTTCATCGCGTGACTGAAGGTAAGCTGTGGATATGCAAGGAAATAGTCCTTCTAAACAGTGAGTGCGTCTTAAAAAGCATCCTGTTCGACGCTTCTGCCTGAACTGAGGAAGAGTTGCTATTAGAGTTGGGCATGACCTCCCTGACATTCTGTGCTCGGCTCCGTCTCTTGTGGCAACCATTTTGTAGTTGGCTCCGCCTCCTGCGGCAGCCATTTTGAAGTCTGCGCCCACCACCCTGTGTCAGAATTCCAAAGGCTCGAAAAGTTTGGGGTCCCCTGGCCTAGACTATGCTGTGCTGGGTGTTCTTCAAAGTCTCCAGCATGATGAGAAGCCAGTGACATAACTCTCCATAACGTCAGAGGCCTCACCTCATGCGCAGTCTTCTGTAATTGGTCCCAGGATTCACCAGCACTTGGCCTGACCCGTGTCCCTTCTGGGAAACAATTAAACCGCACCTTGGTTTGGGCAGTGGAGCGCTAGCGATATTCCCTGTTTGGTGCCTGCCAGCCATTGACATGCTTATGATAGGAAACGTGCAGCCGTGAAGCTCTGGAAGTATTCTGATAGTTTAGTGCATGGAGCTGGAGAGTGTGCTCAGAATGGTCGCTGGGCACGACCCTGACAGCTCTGCTTTCTCCTCCTGCTCACCCCGCCCTCCCAATGCAGACCTGGGCACTCCCAGCCCCTGCCTGAGCGTGGAGTGCACCTTCGGGGCCACCTGCGTGGTGAAGAACCAGGAGGCCGTGTGCGAATGCCAGCAGCTGTGTCAAACCGTGTACGATCCGGTCTGCGGCAGCGACAACCTCACGTATGGCAACCCCTGCGAGCTCGAGGCCATGGCTTGCGCCCTCCGGAAGGACATCCGAGTGAAACACAAAGGCCCCTGTGGTGAGTTGGGCTTCCTTTTGTGGAAGAGTGGGAAGAAGGGGGTTTGGGGTCCGCCTCTTCATTTCTGGGGGACTGCCCACCTGGCCCGTACCTACCGTGGGGCCATTGGGGGCTCCGCCCCCTTTCTTAAAGGGCCAGCCCCACAAGGTTTTGTTCTGAAAATGGTAAGGGATTTCGTTGCCTTAGGCAGGGGGAGGGTGTGTGGGGGGGTGTTTTTGCATTTCATTTATGTCTGGGGCGGCTGTTGTGGGGGGTGTTTGTGCTGCATTTAATTTATTATTAGTAGTATTGTCTTTATTATTACTTGAAAGTACAGTTGTTTTGAGACAGGTAGAAAAATAATTACAGCCCCACCAGCTGCACCAGAAATTTTTTTGCTCCACAAGCCACAACATCCTGGCTACGGGCCTGCCGTCCACCAATTTCTGAAGGTGGAATGCTTATTAGTGGGCAGACATCTCGTACAGAGTTCTGGCCTGGGTAGTCTTTGTTCAGACAAGGCATCTCTTACATTTTTATGTCACTTCACACAGATGAGTCACACCTTAACTGTTCCAACACTCTGTGTCACACGGTAGCAAAAACCCAGGTGCCATCAGGAGGTCCACCAGGAGGGCCAGAACTCCAGAAGGCCTCCCACTGTTGCCCCCCAAGCACCAAGAAGACAGAGCATCACTGCCCCAGACATAAGAACATAAGAGAAGCCACGTTGAATCAGGCCAATGGCCCACCCAGTCCAACACTCTGTGTCCCACAGTGGCCAAAACCCAGGTGCCATCAGGAGGTCCACCAGGAGGGCCAGAACTCCAGAAGCCCTCTCACTGTTGCCCCCCAAGCACCAAGAAGACAGAGCATCACTGCCCCAGACATAAGAACATAAGAGAAAACACGTTGGATCAGGCCAATTTCCCATCCAGTCCGACACTCTGCGTCGCACGGTGGCCAAAATCCTTGAGCTCCATGAATGAGCTTCAAAGTCATAAAGCCAGAGTCCAGGCTCACCCAGTCACATCAGATCTTGGAAGCTAAGCAGGGTCTGCCCTGGCTAGTATTTGGATAGGAGAACACGAAGGAATACCAGGGCTGTGACGCGGAGGCAGGCAACGGCAAACCACCTCTGGATGTCTCTTGCCTTGAAAGCCTTGTTTGGGAGGTCACCATAGGTTGACTGTGACTTGACCGCAATTCCCACCACCACCAAGTAGACCTCGTAAGACTCATTTGCTCCCTCCTGGAGTGTTTTTAGGACTTTGCTTAGCTTCCAAGACATTGTGGTTTTATTTTAAGGCTTTTACTCTGATAATTTTATTGCATCTTATACATTTTATATATATATAAAAAAAGTGTGAGCTGCCACAAGAATCTGAATTGACCAGTTTGGCAGGGTAATGGTTTTTCCAAAAACAATAAATATTCTACTCTGCCTCCAGGGCTTGTGGATGTTGACATACGTGATTTTTAGTAGACTAAGGATGCTCAACCTTCTAGGTTCCTGACTTGCTTCTCAGGTTGGGTCCCTCCCCTTTTGCTGTTTTCTCAAATTGTATCCTTCCTCAAATTTTATCCTTTAAGTATTCCACCAAATAAGAGATTTAAAGGCTTGGAAGAACTGGAGGGGGAAATGGAGGACCTTTCCAGTCACTAAATATAACCATATTTTACATTAAGCACAGTTTTATACTCAGGGCTTTTTTTGTAGAAAAAGCCCAGCAGGAACTCATTAGCATATTAGACCACACCATGCCTTCCCTTGGCTTGCCCGAGTGCCTCGTGGCTGTGGGGAGTCCGGGCAAGCTGGCCCTTGGAGGGGAGGAAGGCAGTTTAAACTGCCTTCCCATGGCTTGCCCGGGCACCCCCCGGCTGCGGGGGGCCTGGGCAAGCCAAGGGAAGGCGTGGGGTGTGGCCTAATATGCTAATGAGTTTCTGCTGTTGGGTGTGGCCTAATATGCTAATGAGTTCCTGCTGGGCTTTTTCTGCCAAAAAAAGCCCTGATGCTAGGAAAAGACGAAGGAAGCCAGGAAAGAGGGAGACCCAACAGGACACGGAGGGACTCAATCGAGGAAGCCACAAAGGCCCTCAGTTTGCAAGACCTGAGCAAGGCTGTTAAAGGATAGGACGTTTTGGAGGTCATAAATTCATAGGGTCGCCATAAGACGGAAGCAACTTAATGGCGTTGTGTGTGTGTGTGTGTGTGTGTGTGTGTGTGTGGCCAACCAGCCTCTCTTGGGGAGTTCACAGGCAAAGCATGAAATGGGTGGCCTCCCCCTGTTCTTTTCCCCAGCACCTGGCTTTCAGTGGTACACCACCTCTGCACACGGAAGCTCCACTTACTTCTGACCCCTCAGTGGGATTGTATCAAAAGTACATCGAGGTCAGCATTCTGTTTCCAACTGAGCCACTCCCTTGATTTCGAGACGCCTACCCAAAGGGCACGGAGGAGACAGCTGTCCCCTGCTGTTGTTCCCCCATAATCTGTTATTTAGGGGTGCACTGCAACTGCACATGGAGGATCTGTGCAGCCATCGGTGGCCGACAGTAGGCAAGTTTGCCTAATCCTGAGCGAGTGGATCCTTGAGTAGTGCATTCCAATTGTTAATACCGCTTTGCACCTTCAGCTGTACCCTTTTGATAGCTTAGATCCAGGTAGTCAGCCGTGTTGGTTTGAAGCAGTAAAACAAATGTAGAGTCCAGTTGGGCACCTTTAAGACCAACAAAGGTTTATTCAGGGTATGAGCTTTCGGGGGCATGCACACTTTTTCAAATACAATAGATTCCAGAAAGTATGTAGCTGAAAAAGTGTGCATGCCCACGAAAGCTCATACCTTGAATAAACCTTTGTTGGTCTTAAAGGTGCCCAACTGGACTCTACATTTGTTCTTTTGATAGCTTGCTACCCAGTGCCGAGTAGTTGCAGAAGGTCATCCTGAATTTCACTAAGATGAGGCAGGGGGAAGGGAAAAAATTCCATCTCTCTACGAAGTTGGGTTTCTGTACCTCTCCCTAGGGCCCCCCCCCATAGTAATCTTTTTATTTTCGCAATACAGCCCCCAGTGCCTTTTCCTGCGCCCCAGTATTTGATGTGTGATTCATGTCGCCTTCTAAAAGTGGTGCCGGTTAGCCTATTTAGCGCTTGGTAAATAGTTTGTCTGTTAATGGAGTGGGGGGATGCGGGGGGGGGGAGCGCATGCCTGGAAACTCTGTTGCCGGAGAGACTCTACCTTGGCTTAGTACTTTGCTTTCATGTTCCTTTGCATTCGGTAAACAAATTGCACAGGAAATTCTCTGATAACAGGAAGCACGGAGCGGGGAGGGAGAGAAGACAAAAGCCCCCGTTGCCGTAAGCGGCGGCTACAGCACAGCTGGCTTTTGGCTGTTAGTCAAAGCGGCCACGGTTCCTTAACAGCCGGGCTGAATTTCAGGTGGATTTCAGTCCCTGGGTGATGTTGTTTTCCCATCGCCGTCCTGGCGGCTGTGCGTGGTCGTGTTCGGTGGCAGCCGGCCATTTACAAAGCATGTACTAGCGATGGGGAAAGGCAGAGGGTTTGCGGCTGGCAGGACTGATCCACGTGCCGGAGCATGGTTTGGATCGCTGCCTTGGTATAGTCGGGGTAGCAGCTGACTGCACATTGCCAATTTTCAAGCTGTAATTAAATTGGCAGGCGACACAGAGAGTTTAGGTTAAGACGCCCGGCGTAATTCTTGGAGGGTGTTTCTCATGCAAGCTCCCGTGGAAACGTACGGGAGCTGCACAGGAGAGCAGCCGCAGAAAGGCCGTGCGGATCCAGGAATGTTGGATTCGCTTCAGCTTTGCTCCTTCAGTTCGATGGTTTCCAGTAGCTGAGACGCTGCTTTTCAGAACTAAAGAGACTCCCGTAATCAAAAAGGTCTCAGGAGGGTAGCCACCTTGCTCTGGAGTGGGGTAGACACCGAGTCCAGTGGCACCTTAAAGAACAGCAAAAGGGAGCCAACCTCTGAATCCCAGAGCCTGGAGGCAACATCAGGGGAAGGTCTTGGCCTTTGTGCCCTGTTGTTGGACCTCTGGAGTAACAGGTTGGCTGCTGTGTGAGACAAGATGTTGGACTAGATGGACCACTGGCCTGATCCAGGAGGGCTCTTCTGATGTTCTGATGAAGGCCTCAGCCTCTCTGCCCTGTTGTTGGCCCTCCAGAGGAACTGGTTGGCCTCTGTGTGAGACAGGATGTTGGGCTGGATGGACCACTGGCCTGATCCAGCAGGGCTCTTCTGATGTTCTAATGAAGGCCTTGGCCTCTCTGCCCTGTTGTTGGCCCTCCAGAGGAACTGGTTGGCCACCGTGTGAGACTGGATGCTGGACTAGATGGGCCTCTGGTCTGATCCAGCAGGGCTCTTCTGATGTTCTAATGAAGGCCTCGGCCTCTATGTCTTGTTGTTGGCCATCCAGAGGAACTGGTAGGCCTCTGTGTAAGACAGGAGGCTGGACTAGATGGATGGTCTGATCCAGCAGGGCTCTCCTGATGCTTACGAAGGTCTCAGCCTCTCTGCCCTGTTGTTGGCCAGCCAGAAGAATTGGTTGGCCTCTGTGTGAGACAAGATGTACTAGATGTACCACCAGCCTGATCCAGCAGGGCTCTTTTTATGTCCTTAAGATTAGGGGGGTATAAGCTTTCAAGAGTCAACGCTCCTTTTGCCAGATACACTTCGTCAAAGGGAGCTTTGAGTCTTGAAAGCTTATACCTTGAAAATCTTGTTAGTCTCTAAGGTGTTGTTGGGCTCAAATCTAGCTCGTGATCAAAAACGATAATTTCATAGTGTGCGTTTCCAGTGTTTCCTTCTCATTTACTGGGGTGGAGCCATGACTCATTGGTAGGGCCACCTGCATTGCACACTGCCGGTCCTTGGACCTGTCCCTGGCATCTCCAACTAAAGAGGGAGTGGGTAGTAGGTTCAGATGTGAAAGATCTCTGCCTGAGACAGGCCCATAGCCAGGATTTTGTGGCTTGTGGGGGCAGATTTTTTTCTGGTGGGGCTGGAGTTCTCAGTGCAGAAAGAAAAGCCATGTAGCCAATAGAAAGCCGTGACCAGGACAGATCTCTCCCTTGCAAGCTGTCAACCACTTTAGATGACAGTTCTCAGCTGCTACGAGTTAATCCCTTCTGCCAGCCTAAGCCACAATTCTGATCACTACAGAAGTGATGACTTCTGTAGCCAAGAAAGCTAATACTCAGGCAGGAAAACTCTCTTCAAGGAGACCAATTTCTTGACCCAGAGTTAGGAGGGATCCTAGAGGTCACCTACTCCAACCCCCTTGCTCATTGTGGGAATTAGTCAACCACAGCACCCCACTCTAATTAAAGGAGTGCATGCCTTTAAAATGTTTTAAAATGATTGGGGGGGGAAGCATTTACAGGAGAAATTCTTCTGAGGCTGTACCGTTAAGAAAGGGGGCAGAGCACCCCAAAGCCCCACCGTAGCTGTAGGCCTGACCTGAGATCATGGAGAGCTGCTGCCAGTCAGAGCTGGCAATGCTGCCGTTGGTATGAACAAAGGCTTGATTCAGTATAAGGCAGCTTCATGTGTTCATGAGTGAGAAAGAGGCGTGACTACGTGTCCTCAAAGAAGATTGCTCTCTTAGTGTGTGAGTCACTGTTCTGAATATGTCACTTGACTGGGAGACAGCAAACTCAGGACCACGACCCATGTCAAAACTCCGGGAAGCCTTCTTTGAGTACAAGTCATCCTGACCCTTCTCGGCATCAGCAGCAACCAAGTAATTAAGTTGTGATGCAGAGATGCGCCAGACTCACTCATCCCCAGCAGAGGCAGACTGGGAGGAGACAAAGACAGAACAGCAGATCATTCAGAGACTCAACAGGCACTCTCTTCTGAGTGTGAGTGTTCCTGCTGCTTTTCTGCACTGGCAGCAACTAAACAATCCCATCAGGGCAAAAACTGCAGAACGGCAGGCATGGAACTGCAGAGATGGGTTGGAAGCAGGCCAAGCGGGAACTCGTGCAGAGACACAGCAGTCCGCCACCTTTATGGGTGGGTTCTGAGCCACTCAGTGGTGGAAAGTGCCATCAAATAGCAGGCAACTTATTGCGACCCTGTAGGGTTTTCAAGGCAAGAAACACTTTTCTCCAATCCCGTTGGCTGATTTTTTCCCTCCCCCATTTATTCATTTGTTTATTTTGCACTGTGGAGGGGAGGTTATCTTAACGCCTCTCTTGCATTTCACATGGCCGTTTTGTCCTCAGTTACTTTGTGGATCCCCCACTGGATGAAAGGAAAGCATAAACCGTTTTTTTTTAAGCGACGCTGCTGCATAACTCTGAATCCCAGGGGCCGGGGACAAAGGAAAGCCATCGTTGTGTTGCCCCCCTTTTGAGTACTTGGGGTCACCTGGCAGTTGGAAACTGAAAGCTGGACTAGAAGGAATCCTTTCCCACCCATTTTTGCTTGGCACCAAGAGGCCGGCGACGGCTCCGCTTCAAATGCAGTTGCTGGCGGGCGCTTCTTTGGGAGCCTCCGCAGCCAAGGGAGGCCAGTCCGCACCGGGCCCATTAAATCCACGTCTGAGGCTGATGAACACTTTGTGTCTCCCTAAGAAGGCCCGACAACCCTGCAGGCTCCTTGCTCCAGTTTTAATACCTTCTCCTTCCTGGGAGCGGATGTATTTACAACATGACACTCATAAATTCACTTCGCCCGCCGACTCCTTCTCCTCTTTCCCTCGAGCAAATGTGTGTTTGTGCCATTGGGGGGGGGGGGAGTTGGGAAGAACGCTTCATAACTCACTCGCCAAACCGTGGCTCTTTCAGCCCTCAGAGGCAGAAGGGGGGGGGGAGAGAAACAGGTCATCCATCTACTCCTTTGGGGTGTGTCTCATTGGAGCTGCCCATCTGGATCGAAACACTGCAGAGACACCGACTTCCCGTCTCTCCCTACCAACTTATTGCATTCCTGTGCTGCCCCCCTTCCTGAGAGCTCTGGGTCTGGATATGCAGCTTCTCCGTTTTATCCTTAAAACAACCCTGCAAGGTAGGCTGAGTTGAGCGAAAGCAACTGTATTGTGAACACACACACACGCCCTTTAGGTTCCACATTTCCCCTCCCCTCTTCTTTTAACCACACCCCCTTGGCCGCAGTGGTTGCACCCGTTCTTTGAAGGAACAGCAGTTGTTTAGGATGTTACCAAAAGGCTATTTGGGGGGCAGCAGACAATTGGCTGGGAGAGGGCAGCTGCTCCAAAGAAGATGGCTGGGGGTTGTTGCCATCCTCCAAGTGAGGCCTGGAGATCTCCCAGTATTAGAGAACTGGTCTCCAGGTAACAGAGATCAGTTCCCCTGGAGAAAACAGGCACCTTGGAAGCTTATGATACCTCTAAACTGAGTTCGTGTGAGCTAGCTCACAGTTTTTTTAGCCTCTGGCTCACGCATTATTGCCTTACCTCAGGGAGGAGGGCTCCAGAGCAAACTAATTTATGCAGCAGCCAAACCGCTCGCTCACAACTTTAATGCCAGTAGCTCACAAAGTAGAATTTTTGCTCACAAGACTCCATGGCTTAGAGGGAGCATTGCTTGGAATGTAAGGCATTATTCCCCTCTGAGGTCAAGCCCCCTCCTCTGGTTCCACCCCCCAAATCTCCCGGTATCACCCCAACCTAGAGTTGACAGCCGTAGCCGGGAGGGAGAGAAGCTGGGATCCAATGAAATCGAGTCACCCTCTGACTTCCTGGTTGGAAAGACCAGGCGCTTTCTGGACCTGAACGAGAGCAAAATGTAGGCACGCGGGCACGCTTGAAGGGCCTTCTAGGGCAAGACTTTCCCACCTGAGGCCCCCGAAGTCTTGCCATATCTGCTATTTTTGCAATCCCCGTCTGGAATTAAAACGAGGTTGGTCACACGAGCCCCCGGGAAAACCGCCAATGACAAATCTCCCCCTCCCCCGCTGCCTACCTGGAAATACCCTTCGAAACAGTTATAAGGTGCATACTGCTTTATAATTCTGCCCGAGGCTCTGCTGCACTCCTCCCTGGCTCCTTTTTGAAGCCTCCAAGGGCGAGAGAACTTGGGTGACAGTTGGCTGCCTCGACTCTCGGCTCTGACAGATTTAATGGCCGGTTGTCACCTCTCCGCCTCGGAGCATCCGGCTCTTTCCTTCCTCCGGGGTCAGCGGCCCTCACTAAGCGGGGCTTAGTTCCCCCGCGAGCAGAGGAGATTGTTACGGGATTTTACGACCGCCTGACACTTCATTAAGATGAAGGAGAAAGCGAGACGCTTGCCTGCCTGTCCCATTACCATATTCCACCCTCGGCCAAGACAGCAGCCAGGGTCAACCAGAGGTGTTGACGGATGTCAGCAAAGAGGTGTCACCTTTTGTGGGCCCCACTTTGCCAGCTGCTGGTTTATCTTTGAAATACAAAAAAACCTTGAGTTCTGGACCTGGTCAGATTGGGGATTAGAGTTACCATCCTCTGTCTGTTCTGGGCAAAGCTAGTCATAAGCTTTTATGAATAATTTCGGCACTGGAGAGCCACCTCTTCCTCTAATGCAGCCACCTTTCCCACACAGTTGGAACTCCACCCCAATTTGTGGGTCTGCTAAAGGAAGGGGAGTGATAATTGTGAATCAAAAAGGAGCAAGATGTGCTGGTGTAACGATGTGAGGTCACTTCCTGTACAAGATGTCCTACTTCCTGTTCTGCCGTCATGGGTGCCAGACTCCTTGACCCATGCACTGTCATTCAGTCCCCCATGGAAAGACGTGATTTGGCCCCACTATACCACCAACAATGGCACCCAAATGTGTGTAGTTCTAGCAATTGTTCATTGCAGCTGTGGGGGCCATGTTAGGCCTCTCCACGCTTCTCTCACCTAAGCTTTCTCTCTTTTAGACCGTTGCGGAAAGTGTCGGTTTGGTGCCATCTGCGAGGCAGAGACCGGGAGGTGCGTCTGCCCCACCGAATGCGTTCCTTCCTCCCAGACGGTTTGCGGCACAGACGGGAACACCTACGGCAGCGAGTGCGAGCTCCACGTGCGGGCCTGCACCCAACAGACCAACATCGAGGTGGCAGCGCAAGGAGACTGTAGTGAGTCCTTTCTGGATTAGTTCCCATTAATGTGGTCTGTCACCATCCAGACTGTACCATTTCAGAGAGCAGGTGGGGGCGCATGTGATTGTGCGGCCCTCCAAGCAAAATATATATCCCAGATTCCTCTGCTTGTAGAAAACGGTCATGTCAGTAAGAGAATCTAGCCGAGGTGCTTGATTTCTGTTTGCAGGGCTTTGGTGGTGGTGTTTTTTAGATGAAGGGCTGTTCAGCACTCTGGAGAGATCCAGATCAAACTGAGATCGCTCACTTCAGTGAGAAACAGGCTTCCCTCTCTACCCTTTCTTTTAGGGTAGCGTGAGGTAGGGTACCGTAACCTCTCTCAGGGGGACGAGGGATCCACTGTTATGGGGCCCCTCCCCCCAGCGCCAGTCAGCTGACGGGCAGGGGGACTTACCGGCAGGAAACTGAGGCCTCTGTGGCCAGTGACACAATGATGTCACTTCTGGTGTGCACCAGAAGTGACATCATAACATCGCCAGTGCCGTGGGGATGGTCTGCCCGCCTGTCTTTGGAACAGCCTCCCTGCTGTGGCCTGCCTGGTGCCAAATTTGCCATCTTTTCAGCACCAGGTTAAGACAGCCCTCTTCGCAGAGGCCTTTAAAGATCTCCTCGGACACTCAAGGGCCCAATACAATTAGCTAGGTGTCTCTGTTAATTGTTTGTTACTGTTTTTATTGTTTTTAATGTTTTAATGTTATTTTATATTAATCTATATAAATCTTATATTTTATATAAATCTTATATTTATGGTGGTTTACTGCTTTATACTTGCTGTAAACCACCCAGAGAGTCTTGGCTACGGGAGGTATAGAAATGAAAATAGTAGTAGTAGTAGTAGTAGTAGTAGTAGTAGTAGTAGTGGCAGAAACTGTATGGTAAGAATGGCTTCTACCGTAGAGTTTTTACACGAATACCAGAGCGTCCCTGTGTTGCCGGTGATGTGATGACATTACCTCCTGTGCGTGCCGGATGTGACCACCACACTGCCGGTGTGACAGAGACTTGGGCCTCAGTTTGCCACTGATAAGTCCCCACCTCTCTGGCAGCCCTAGTGCTGGGAGGTGCATGTAGAGGAATTTCTTCTGTTTTCTCAGATAAGGTTAGCGGTTTAGTCAGGGTACTGCTGGGTGCCTGGGCACTCGTGTATCCGCCTCATCGGCATCAGATCAAAAGCGTCTTGTTGTGTTTGTTGTGTGTCTCCCCCCCCCACGGATTGCTCAGAGACCGGGAAACCCGAGGCACGGATTTCTTCAGACAATGTGGAGCTTTTTGCAGACAACGTGATTACCCTCTAGAATATTTTACTGAGAGTCAGGGGTATAAATATTTTAAGTAGATAAATACCTCTAGGGGCTGGCTCAGTTGTGCAAGAGTAACTGGGTTGGCCGTGTTATCCTGCCAAATGAAAAAGAAGGTTTTAAACGCCTACCATACGTGGGCGTGTAGCAAAATGTGTGTTGAAATTATTGTTGTGATTCACCAACGCCAACACCCAGGGCTAACTCTTCTCTGAATGTCAATCGCTCACCCTTTCTTTTGGCTCAAGAGTGGCCGGCCAGTGGCCGCCTTTCAATCTTCCGCAGCTCCCGCCAGCCCTCCCTGTCCAGTTCATGAGACACGTTTGCCTTTTTCTGACCGTCTTGGCGCCCCTTCATTTTCTGATGGTAGCCAAAAAGAGAATCATGCCCTGTGGCTTGAGACTGGGACTTCTCCCACTGGGAAGCGAGATGTCATCCAAGAGATGTGTCAGCCTCTGTCGTAACCTCTTGTTTCCTGACTGGAGTAGCATTTGCACAGAAAGAAGGGTTAGGGCTTGTTCCTGGACTGCTTTTCAAATTCTAGACACCCCTTCGATTTAGGGAATGAGGTTGTGGACACCTCCCATCCAACCAGCAGGGTTTCCCTGGCTGAAGAGTGATGCCTCTTTTCCCCCAACTGTCCTTGGGTAAAGGCCCTTGGGTGAGGTTTGTCCTGCCGGGCAGGGAATTCCACTCCCTCTAACTGCCATTTCCTTCCCCTCTCTCTTGCCCCACCTCTAGAGACCTGTGGTACGACGGTGTGCTCCTTCGGGGCCAAATGCATGGGTGGGCAGTGCGTCTGCCCACGCTGCGAGAAGCAGTCCTTGGCCCGCGTGTGCGGGAGTGACGGCATCACGTATGACAATGCCTGTGAGCTGCAGGTGGCCTCCTGCCAGCAGAAGAAAGACATTGAGATCGCCAGGACGGGACCCTGTGAGGATGGTAAGGTCTCTCTCTCGTCCCCCGATCGCTTCTCAGCCTTTTGGTTGGGAAAGCATTTTCTGCTAAGTCAATCTGTTCTTATCAGTTGTCCCCGAATGCTACAGGGCTCAGTTTGGCTAACCAGTATTTAATTTTCCTACTAAAAGGCAAAACCTCAGAGCTTTGAGTCTGTCAAATTTAGATCCAAAGTGAAATTTTGTCAAGTTAGCTGACTTCTTAAAATGTGGGGTTATGATGTCCAAATACGCCATTAAGAACAGGAGGGAAGCAATGAGCCATCCAGTCCAACACAGTGGCCAAAACCCAGGGGCAATCAGGAGTTCCACCAGCAAGGCCAGCACTCCAAAAGCCCTCCCACTGCGACCCCCCAAGCACCAAGAATACAGAGCATCACTGCCCCAGACAGAGTGTTCCATCTATATCTTGTCACTAATAGCCACTGATGGACCTCTGCTCCATATATTTATCCAGATCCCCTCTTGAAGCTGTGCTTGTAGTTGCCACCAGTTCCTGTGGCAGCGAATTCCCCATGTTAATTACTCATTCTGATTTCAGGACTGAAATTTGCCCTTGAAATTCAAAATGTGCATCATTGGCTTGCCTACATGAATGAAGCTAATGTAAAATTTACGGAACTCTGTACCAAGTCAGCAGTCTGATCCTCTGTGTTACTGTCAGATGCTATCAAATATTGATTGCTACATGGCTGGTACTGTCTTAATGTTGCCGGCCGCATGTCATGCGCTGTCAGATATCAATTTCTGCTGCCGAATTTTGGATGTCAAATGCTGCTGATTACGGAGATTGAGACTTTGGTGAATATTCACCCAGACAGAGAACCTGATCATCACCTTTTTCAAATAACGGATAACTGGGAAGGACAAATTCATTTCTGCTCGGGTTTTATCATGCACATTCCCATATTCCTCCTCACAGTTCTGCAGAAACCCTTATCAAATTGCTTCCCTAATAACTCTTGTTGGGGGCTCTTCTGAAAGTCCCTTCCTCTGTTCTTTTCTACTTCTCACCTATAATCTCTGCTTCTACTGGGCGTTCTTATAAGAACATAAGAGAAGCTATGTTGGATCAGGCCAGTGGCCCATCCAGTCCAACAGTCTGTGTCACACAGTGGCCAAAACCCAGGTGCCATCGGGAGGTCCACCAGTGGGGCCAGGACTCCAGAAGCCCTCCCACTGTGGCTGCCCCCAAGCACCAAGAATACAGAGCATCACTTGCCCCAGACAGAGAATTCCATCTGTACCTTGTTGATTCCATCTGTATCTCATGGACCACAACTCTTAAGAACATAAGAGAAGCCATGTTTGATTAGGCCAGTGGCCCATCCAGTCCAACATTCTGTGTCACACAGTAGCCAAAACCCAGGTGCCATCGGGAGGTCCACCAGTGGGGCCAGAACTCCAGAAGCCCTCCCACTGTGGCCCCCCAAGCACCAGGAATAGAGTATCTCTACCCCAGACAGAGTGCTCCATCCAGGGGTCATTTCGTAGAAAAAGAGCTAGGGGAACTCATTAGCATAACTCATTAGCATATGCCACACCCCCTGACATCAGGGGCCCGGCGGTGGACCTGCAAGGCCAGCGGGAGTGCGAGGAAGCCCCGCCAAGGCCCTCCTTGGTCCCAGGCAGGGGTGGGGAGAAGCAGGGAGGAAGCAACTTACCCTCCCTCCTCTCCTGCCTCCTCCTGGCTGAATGAGGGCCGGAAGCGGGGCGGCCGGAAGCAGGGGGTGGGGCTTCGTCATGTGCCCCGCCCCCTGCACTTCACCCGGGGGAACTGCGTTCCCCCCGTTCCCCCCCGAAATGACCTCTGGCTCCATCTATACTTTGTGGCTAATAGCCACTGATGGACCTCTGCTCCATATGTTAATCCAATCCCTTCTTGAAACTGTCTATGCCTGTAGCTGCCACCACTTCTTGGCAGCAGTGAATTCCACATTACTCTTTGGGTGAAGAAGCGCTTCCTTTTATCTGTTCAAAGCCTCCTGCTCATTAATTTCATGGAGTGCCCACGAGTTCTTGTATTGTGCGAAAGGAAGGACTTCTTTCTCTGCTTTCTCTATCCCATGCATAATTTTGTAAACCTCTACCATGTCACCCCTTAGTCGTTATTTCTCTAAACTAAAGCGCCCTAATCTCTTTAACCTTTCTTCATAGGGAAGGCGTCCCATCCCCTTAATCCTTTTAGTTGCCCTTTTCTGCACCTTTTCCAGCACTATATATTTTTTGGGGGGAGTTGAGGTGACCAGAGCTGCCCGTCACTTTCCCTGGGGTCAGCATGCTCTCAGTCATTGCGGCTGGGCTTCGTTGCCTCTTGACCTGTGCGTGCCTGTCGTGAGAGAATCGGGGCCAGCCGTGTTGCCAGCTTGTTATAATTACTGCCCCTGCTCTCATGGCTTTAACCAACATCCAGACGAGACCCGGGTGAAGCTTTTCCTGAATCAGAGACTGTGGGAAATGCATCGCCTCGTTTGTTTCCGGAGGCTGGACTGCCACCGAAGGCATGCAAACAGGATTGCTGAAAAGAGTTGCCGGCAGTGTTCCCTCTAAGCTGAGTTAGTGTGAGCTAGCTCACGGTTGTCTAGCCTCCGGCTCACACGTTTTTGTCTTCGCTCGGGAAGGAGGGCTCCAGAGCAAACTAATTTCTGCAGCAGCCAAATCGCTGGCTCACCGCTTTAATGCCAGTAGCTCAGAAAGCAGAATTATTGCTCACCAGACTCCACAGCTTAGAGGGAGCCTTGGTTGCCAGTGCTTCAAGAGAGCTACAAGACAGAGGAGAGGCTGCAGCTCGGCCGCAGAGCATCTGCTCGGCATGCAGAAGGCCCCAGGTTCAGTCCACGGCGTCTCCAGGTGAAAAGACTGCTCAGTAGCTGATGTGAAAGGCCTCCGCCTGAGACCCTGGAGAGCCGCTGCCAGTCTGAGTAGACAAGACTGACCTTGATGGACCGAGGCTCTGATTCAGTATAAGACATTTGGGAAGGTCCCATGGTTCAGTGGCAGAGCATCTGCTCGGCATGCAGAAGGTCCCAGGTTCAATCCCCAGTGGAAAAGAACCAGGCAGTGATGTGAAAGGCCTCCACTGAGACCCTGGAGAGCTGCTGCCAGTCTCAGTAGACAATACTGACTTTGATGGACGAACATTCTGACTCTGTATAAGGTAGTTTAATATGGAGGAGGAGAGGAGGAGATTGGATTTATACCCCACCCTTCACTCGGAATCTCAGAGCGGCTTACAAACTCCTTTCCCTTCCCCTCCCTACAACAGACACCCTGTGAGGTAGGTGGGGCTGAGAGAGCTCTTTCGAGGACTGCTCGTGAGAGAACAGCTCTGACAGAACAATGGCTTGCCCAAGGTCATCCAGCAGGTGCAAGTGGAGGAGTGGGGGAATCAAACCCTGTTCTCCCAGATTAGAGTCCACACACTTAACCACGACGCCAAACTGGCTCTCAAAATGCGTGTTCAAAATCAGGTTCTTTGCTTCCCTCTCACCTCCTCAACCCCCCCCCCTCTGCCCCCAGGAGTCTAGGGCCACTAAAGGCTAGGCATATCCCCCTGTGCCACTCCAAGATTCTTCTCTGCCTCTCTCATGGGGGCGGTGGTGAAGCTTCTCCTGGTGGGGAGCCAGGGCGTTCATCGAGCCTTCCTGCTTCTCGCAAGCGGAGGCATCCGTCCCCCACCTCTCCCTCCCTTCCCCACCACACAACCCTCCTTCGCATTGTCTTTTTATCTGCCGATAATGAAAGGTGACGCGCATAATAGGCCTTGGCAAAGAGGTTTATCAGTGCTTTAATTTCACACTTCAAAGAGCTGAGGGGAAGGTGGGAGAAGAAAACGCCAGTGCCGTTTCTCCGTTTCTCCTCTCCGTCTCCGGCCGTGGGAGGAAGGCTGGTGGTGGTGGTGGGAGCCGGAGGAAAAGAGGTCAAGCCGAGGCCTAATTGGGACTGCAGCAGACTGGGGGCCCCCAGAGCCGACAACCCCGTCAGCATTTATTTCACTTTTCTCATTTATGAACAACGGTCGACCCTCCCAGAGCCACGCTCTCGAGGCGGTTTCCCACACAAAAGTTAAAAAAGGTGTCTTAATCACTCGCGCCGAATAAAAGGCCCACCTTGAAACCATTCAATCCAGTGGCGAATAAGCTCCTTAAAAATGGTTTAAAAAAAAAAAAAAAGCCCTTTGCGGAGCGACTCCGAAAGCAAAACAACAGGGGACCAAAAAAAGAAAAGAAAAAGATAATCTATGAAAGGAACCATCTGAGAGGGGAGGCAAAAATAATGGAATTAGGGAAAGGAGGAGCGGCCCTTAAAAAGTGAAGCGCACATACTAGGGTGGCCAACCTCCAGGTGGAAACTGGAGATCTCCTGGGATCACAACTGATCTCCAAGCGACAGAGATCAGTTCACCTGGAGAACATGGCTGCTCTGGAAGACGGACTCTATGGCCTTATACCCCACTGAAGTCCCTCCCCTTCCCAAACCCTGCCCTCCTCAGGCTCCACCCCCAAAATCCCCAGGTATCTCCCAACCCAGAACTGACCGCTGTAACACACACAGAGTACAGAAACTAACGATCAGAAAATGAACAAAAAGCTTGGAGAGGGTGATGATTTTGTTGAACTCCTAAAGCTCAACATGGTAAACTGGCAAACCCGTGTTGAGAAAGCAATCCAGGAGTGAGGTGCCGCTGCAAAAAAGGCCCTGTCTCTAGTGCGCAGCCATATTGCTTCAGTAGGGTTGCCAATCTCCTGGTGGCACCTGGAGATTTCCCACTATTACAGTTGCTCTCCAGGGGACCAGGATCAGCTCCCCTGGAGAAAATGGCGGCTTTGGTGGGTGGACTCTATGGCATCATACCCTGCTGGGGCCCCTCCCCTCCCCAAACCCCGCCCTCCCCAAGTACCAGCCCCAGAACATCCAGGTATTTCCCTGGGAAGGGAGGCACAAAATATGGTCTGTGTAGCAAAGCATATGGCTGACAGGCAGATT